TTCCAGATTTTTATGTAGTTTCATCTGCACTTAACTTGACACTATTTTTTTCTGTCAGTTGCCTGTATCAAGCCTTCCCAAACATTGAACTTGGTTTTCATAGACCATAATTCCCTTGTTGTAGTATTTATTTAATTTATGTTTCTGTATTTTTTAATTTATTTATGATAATTTTGTATTGAGTTGAATCACATGAAATCACCATACTGGTTGTCACAAATGTTTATCATCAATTTCAAATGTTGAACCTGTTAATAAAAAGTAAAATAAAAAGTGCAAAAAATAGATTTGGGAACCAATATGCCTGATTCTTGCTAAGCCCGTTATGCAACTGGTGGAACTAGAAGCAGTTAGGCCTGTCAGTGATGAGCCTTTACTGTACTATGGACATTGGTTAGTACTTTGTACAAGGTGAATGGAGTGTTTCAGTTAATTTGACAAGTGCTTCTGCCTACAGGTACTTCTGCCTTACTCCATAAGACGTAAGGAAATTGTAATATCATCAAGTTTCCATGTGAAATAATAGAGAACTGAACAGACTTTTAAATACCAGTTCAACCTTTCATTTTAGAGATAATTTTGGAGGTCAGGTTGATGAGATTATAGGCATAGCATTAAAATTCAGACTCCTGTTAATCCAGGAACTTTTTCCTTTACCTTCTACAATGTTGACCTCTAGATTGCATTGTAATTTATCAAGTGACCATTTGGAAGATAATAATATTTTTATGAGAACTGAAAAATTCTAAGTTGAATTACATAAAACATTACACAGCAAGGAAAGAATGACCAACACAGCAAGCCTAGTTAGCTTAAAGCCTTCTGGTGGTAGGTTTATTTGAGATTAACAGTGTAATGGGTACATACTTTTCCTTCATAGTGTGGAGTGTTGCCTGTCTTTGTTGAGATTTCCAGACTGTTATAGACTGTCATTCTCTAGCTGTGGATTCATATCTATAATCTGGCTCACCTTACTCAACTCTGCTCTAGCCACACAGCTTCCAGAGTGAGCCTTTTATCATTTGCATCTTCACTTGTATCTGTGCCCATTCCCTCATCTGAAATGCCGTCTCCTCCTCTCTTCTGCCTGTCCAAACTTTTGATCCTCCAGCCTTCGTTTCTTTACCCTCAAAACCTTTCAAACTACTCTGACCTCTGCTGCTTTCCCCTCCTTCGAACTCCTGTGGCTTTTACACTTGTGAGGTCTGACATTTCATCACTCGGTGATACTTTATGTTTTGTACTATGTACTGGGGGTCTAAGTAATATTTTTATCCATTTTACAAAATACTTTTATTAAATAGTCCTTCACTTACCTCTGTATTTGTTATTAATATTGTCATCTTAAGCATTTATTCTGAGGTTAGCATTGCCTCTCAAAGAAAGGGTCTAATGCACATTTTAAGCTGAAGGAGCCGCAGAAAGATTATTTAGTGGGCCTTTTTTTTCCTTTTAGTGTCTAAATATCTTGGCATTGTAGAATATTGATTTGGAGAAATTAAAAGATTAATCAGAGCACTGTAAATTGATTTTGCTTATTAGAGTTGCTGTGTCTGCTTAAAAAAGAAGCATTAAATGTCAAATAATAGTGTTCTGAATTTTCAGGATC